GTATTGCCTTTTACTGGAGATGGTCATTGGTTGGCATTTGTGTGGCTCAAATGTTACTTGCCACTTTTCAGCCCAAGCCAGGATATTGTCCAGAACTTGTTGCATTTGGACACAGACTGCTTCAGTATCTGAGAAATCACAAATGGTGCTGAATATTGTGCAATTGATGGCAAACATCACCACTTCCGAGCTGATGACGGAAGAAAGGTCATTGATGAGGCAGCTGAAGATTCTTTACTCATTGACACCATCCTGACAAACTCCTGCAGAGATGCTCTAGAGCTGAGATAACTGACCTCAAACAACCACAACCGTCTTCCTACGTACCAAGTATGACTCCATCCAGCAAAGAGTTTGCCCCCCGATACCGAGTGATTCCAGTTTTGCTATGGCTCCTTGATATCACACTCAGTCAAATGTGGCCTTGATGTCAAGGGCCGTCTTCTCACCTTCCCTCTGGAATTCAGTTCTTTTGCTGAGTTTTGAATCAAGGCTATAACGAGATCAGGTGGTGAGTGACCCAGCAGAACCCAAACTGGGCGTCACTGAGCAGGTTATTGTTAAGCAGCTGCTGCTTGATAGCACTGTTGATGGCACCTTCCATTATTTTACTGATGATCGGAAGTAGGCTGATGGGGCGGTAACTGGCCGGGTTGGATTTGTCCTGCCTTTTGTGTACAGGACGTACCTGAGCAATTTTCCACATTGGCGGGTAAATGCCAGTGTTGTAGCCATTCTGGAACAGCTAGGCTAGGGTAGCAAGTTCTGGAGCACAAGTCTTCAGTACTATTACCAGAACGTTAACAGGGTCCATAGCCTTTGCAGTATCCAGTGCTTCCAAATGTTTCTTGATGTCATGTGGAATGAACCAACTTGGTTCAACACTGGCAACTGTTTTGCTGGGGATTACTGGAGAAGGCAGAGATACATTATCCCTCTGCACTTCTGGCTGAAGACTGTTGCAAATGCTTCAGCTTCATCTTTTGCACTGACATGCTGCCCTTTCCAATCATTGAGGATGGAGGTAATTGTGGAGCTTCCTCCTCCAGAGGATTGTTTGATTGTCCACCACCATTCACAACTGGAGGTTGCAGGACTGCAGAACTTAGATCTAATCTGTTAGTTCTGGGATCGCTTAGCTCTATCACTAGCTGTTTTTGCTGTTTGGCACACAATTGTCCTGTTTTGGCGAACCATCTGGTTGGCAACTCATTTCTTGCTATCAAAAACAGGAATTGCTTGAAAAACTCAGTAGGTCTGGCAGGTCTGAGTTCCGACGAAGGATCACTCGACCCAAAACGTTAACTCTGGTTTCTCTCCACAGTTGCTACCAGACAATGCTGAACTTTTCCAGCAATTTCTGTTTTTGTTTCTGATTTATAGCATCTGCAGTTCTTGCAGCTTCATTTCCAGCTATGTTTAGTGCTTCTCCAGCCATGCCGTCCTGCAGTCTTCTCCAGCTCTTTCTATTTTTATTTTGAATCTCCAGCATCCGCAGTAACATTTTTCTTTGTTGTGTCGATTGAGGGATAAATATTGGCGAGAACAGCAGGGGCCAGTCTTCTTTGAAAATAGTGTTAAGGGATCTTTCACATCCACTTCACGGGTCAGAAAGGGTATCAGTTTAATACCTCATCTATTATCTGTGGACCTCCAATGGCGCAGCACTGCTCAGTAATGCACTGGAACGTCAGTGTTCAAGTCCTGCAGTGAAGTTTGCAGCCACAGCCTTCTAAAGGTACAGATTAGTGTTACCAACAGAGCCATTACTGGTAGAGAAGTAGAAAGAGGGGTAGATGAAACATTTGCAGAGTATAACCATATGCATGGACAAGTCGGGTTAATGGTGTAATTCTATACTGTAGTTTATATAACTATATGGAATTACTGAGTAATTATAATTAAACCTATATATCTGCATATTTCCACTGTCAAAATCTCTGCCTCACTCTGAGTTCTCCTCTTTCTTGGAATGGTGTCTGTCATTTGCATTTGTCTATAGCTGGAAATGAACCCTCCAAGCCACTCACCTTCCTCACTTGGAAATATATCGTCCTTCCTTCACTATCACTGGGCCAAAATCCTGCCCTAAGGGCAATGTGAGTCCACCTACAGCATGTGGACTGCAGTGGTTCAAGATGGTATTTCACCATCACTTTCTCAAGGGTAACTAGGGATAGGAAATAAATGCTGGCCAGTCAGAGATGCCCACCTCCCTTGAATGAATAAAAAATTGTCCATTCAATGTCCTTCCTTCTTTGTGTGCGGGCCTGGCACATTAAATGCCTCCCTATTTCCATTTATATTGTCTCTCTTAGCATATCAGACACCACTTCTTTTCTCTTGTGTGAAAGGATGGGCAGACCGGAGGCTCTAACTCTGAGAAATATGTGGTTGTCTATCATGGAGCAGAGAAATGTGTCACGTGCTTGTTTTTGCATGAGGGATTGGGTTTAGCTTGATGGCAGTAGACAATTGCAATTGAGATGGAAACAGACATGTGATAGACCAAAGTTAATGCAGCTCCGTGATGCCTGTTGGTAGTAAGAGGAGGAATAATAAAGATTAAACAGAATAGTGTTAAAAGGAGGTTCAGGAACAGAGAGTCATACAACATAAATCTTTGTAAGTGGAAGGCTAAATGGAGAAAGCTGTTAAAATGCTTGTGCATATCTGGCTTGAGAAACAGAAAGGTACATGACAATAATAAACAAGTTGCGTTAAATCTTTACAAATCACTAGTTGGGCCCCAGATGAAGTATTGTGTCTAGTTCTGGGCCCCACAGTATAGAATCAAAGTCAAGACCCTGGAGATAGCGCCAAGGAGGTTTACTGGAATGATCCCAGAGATCTGGGATTCCACTAATATGAACAGACTAGAACAGCTGGGCTGTTCTCTTTATTGTAAGGAAGGTTAGAGGGTGACAATAAAGGTGTACAAACCATGAGGATTTTAGGTGCAGGAAGTAATGAGAAACAGTTTCCACCGGCAGAAGGTGAACAGCAAAAGAACCAGAGCTACGATGATAAGATACTTTTACTCAGTTACTAAATTGGACTGCGCCGGCTGAAAGGCTGGTGGAAGATTCAAATGAAACGTCCAAAACAGAAATTGGATAAACACTTGAAGTGGAAACACCTAGGTAAAGAGCACAGGCAGCATAAGAATTTGGACCAAAATGAATGAATAAAAAAAGCTTCAAAATCTCCCTCCCCCGACCTCATCCCAAAACCAGCCCAGCTTGTCCCTGCCTCCCTAACCTGTCCTTCCTCCCACCTATCCACTCCTCCCACCTCAAGTCCCACCCCCAACTCCTACCTACCAGCCTCATTCCGCCTCCTTGACCTGTCCGTCCTCCCTGGACTGACCTATCTCCTCCCTAACTCCCCACCTACACTCACCTTTACTGGCTCCAAGCCCGCCTCTTTGACCTGTCTGTCTCTTCTCCACCTATCTTCTCCTTTATCCATCTTCTATCCGCCTCCCCCTCTCTCCCTATTTATTTCAGAATCCCCTTCCCCCCACAATTTCTGAAGAAGGGTCTAGACCTGAAACGTCAGCTTTCCTGCTCCTCTGATGCTGCTTGGCCTATGTTCATCCAGCTCTATACCTTGTTATATCAGATTCTCCAGCATCGGCAGTTCCTACTATCTCTGAATAAACAAAAAGGCCTCCTTCCATGCTACAATACTACAATTCTGCATTCTCCAACTTGGAAGCATATCTAAGTAGAAAAATTTAAGAAGGCTTAAGAAGGAATGTTATCCTCTTTACGAGAGAAATTCAATTATACAGGGCATTTGTGAGACCACATCTTGAATACTAAGTGCAATTTTGATCTGCTTATTTAAAGAAGGATGTAAATGCATTGGAGATAGGTTCAGAGGAGATTGATATCTGGAATGAGTGAGCTGTCTTATTGAGGAAAGATGAGGCAGACTGGGCTTGTTCTCTTTGGAGTTCAGAAGAAGAAGAGGTAATCTAATTGAAGTTTATCAAATCCTGAATGGTCTTGGCAAGGTAGGCATGGAAATGACTTTTATTCATACTTTTATTCTGGACAATGATTCCAGACCAGGGAACACATCTTTAAAATTACAGATCACCCTTTCATGATAGAGATAATGTTGAATTTTTGCTCTGGGGTTTGTGTATCTTTGAAACTGTCTGACTCAGAAGGCGATGTAGGTGGGATCACGAACATTTTTAAGGCAAAAGTAGAGAGATTCTTGGGAGGCAAAGGAACCAAAACAAAAATTAGGCAGAGATGAGAATGTAGAATTCAGAACACAAATGGAATCATCCATGATTTTCGAATGGCAAAACGTACTTGAAGGGTCAGGTGACCTAATTCTGTTCCTAATTTATATTTTCATGATTGCAATTTCAAATAGTGGAGTCCACAGCGCAGCAACATGACAGCACCTTCAGGACAAATTTCTCAAAGGTTTTCTCACAAATGCTCAGCATGTGGTCTCCCTAGACCTACCATAGTACACAGGGATAAAACATGAATGTTGATCATCTTGTGCTTGTTTGCAGTGTTTCACACTAAAATGGTCACAATGTGACAGATGATGTTTACATGGCACATTCTAAATAAATCAAACTTTCTATGATCAAAATTTGCTGGCTGATGGTGCAGATTAGATTCCAATATGCCTGATCCGCTGATGATATTAAAAGCTTTTCATGCTGCTGTTGGCATGCTATGGTCTGTTGTACTATACCAGCATGGAGGGTGTAAGGTAACTAATTCCTAGGCCTCTAAAATTGAGTTCCAGTACATGAGAGATGGTGTCCTTAGACAAGCCACACTCTCTAAACTCCCTATCAACAGAAGGGCTGAAGCTTCTCAACTTCTTCTGGTAAGTAAAACCAAGATGAAGAAAGTTTCTGTGAGAGATTTAAAATTGTCAGCTGACATGTACTGCCCTTTTCTGGCCGTACTGCTGGGAATTGTGCTCTAAAGAGAAAGGCAAGCTGAGAGTGTGCTTACATTGGTAATGAAGGTCCCGTAACACTGCACAATGTAAGGGCAGTCATGACTTTTCAGCACCACATCCAAGTCCATGAGGATCCGTTTGTTTTCTTCCTTATTACCTGAGCGACGCATTTGCTATAAATAAAACAAAACATCAAATATCAAGAACATGTGCTTTTTATCTTCCTACTCTGCATCAAACTCATTCAGAACCACCAGAACAAAATGGAAGAACATCAAGTACGCCTCCAGCACAATGCAGAATTAACACTGCGTCACACAATGGGAAGCAGTGGTGTAGTGGTAATCACTGGACAAGTAATCCACAACACCAGGTTCTAATATTCTAGAGATATGGGTTCAAATCCCAATCACAGAATTGTTACAGTGCAGAAGGAAGCCATTCAGCCCATCGCACCTGCACCGGCTCGACTACGTCTGCCTTTTCCCCATATCCCTACACACTGTTTTTATCCAAATAATTATCCAATATTCTCTTGAATGCCTCAATTGAACTTGCCTCTACGTTTCTAGGCAGTGCATTCCAGACCTTAACTAATTGCCATGTGAAAACGTTTTTCCTTATATCACCCTTACTTCACTTGTACATCACTTTAAACATATGTCCACTTGTCCTTTACTTTTCAAGCAGGAATAGCTTCTCCCTATCTACTGTATCCATGAAAAATTATGAAATTAGATTTGGTAAGAAGAATAAAAGCATGGACTATTTTCTAAATGGGGAGAAAATTCAGAAGTCTGAAGTGCAAAGAGACTTGGGAGTTCTCGTCCAGGATTCTCTCAAGGTAAACTTGCAGGTTGAGTCAGTAATTAGGAAGGCAAATGCAACTTTTGCATTTATTTTGGGAGGACTTGAATATAAAAGCAGGGAGGTACTTTTGAGGCTCCATAAGGCTCTGGTCAGGCCACAGTTGGAGTATTGGGTGCAGTTTTGGGCCTCATATCTCAGTAAAGATGTATTGGCCCTGGAGCGGGCTCAGGGGAGGATTACAAGAATGATCCTAGGAATGAAAAGCTTAACATATGAGGAATGTTTGAGGACTCTGGGTCTGTCCTCGATGGAGTTTTGAAGGATGAGGGGAATACAATTGAAACTTACAGAATACTGAATGGTCTGGACAGAGTGGATGTTGGGAAGATGTTTCCATTGGTTGGAGAGACTAGGACCCGAGGGCACAGCCTTAGAGTAAAGGGAAGACCTTTTAGAACAGAGATAAGGAGAAACTTCTTCAGCCAGACAGTGGTGAATCTATGGAATTCACTGCCACAGAAGGCTGTGGAGGCCAGGTCATTGAGTATATTTAAGGCGGAGATAGATAGGTTCTTAATTGTCAAAGGGTTCAAGGGTTATGAGGAGAAAGCGGGAGAATGGGGTTGAGAAACTATCAGCCATGATTGAATGTCCTTAGTTCTGAGGAAGGGTCACCAGACCCAAAATATGTTAACTCTTGATTTTTCCTTCACAGATGCTGTCAGACCTACTGACCTTTTCCAGCAACTTATGTTTTTGTTCCTGATTCTTACCTGCCCACTGAGTTGGGTGAGCAAGCCACTTAGTTCCAGGGAAATTAGGGATGGGGCAATAAATGCTGCCCTAGCCAGTGGAACAGAACATTTTGAATATTTTTAAGGCAAGCTAGGCAGATTCTTGTTAAGCATGGAGGGGGTGGTGGTGAAAGGTTATCAGGTGTTGGCGGGAATTGAGATTGGCAGATTTGAATGCAGGTCATCCATGATCTTATTTAATGATGCAGCACGCTTGAGGGGCCAGGCAAGCTACTCCTGCTTGGAATACAAACATATGAATACGTGTGTTATTATTGGTGGTCAGTGAGCTCAGTTGAACAGCTGGTCTTGCGATACAGAGCAACACGAACAGCATGGACTCAATTCTCACTGTGGCTGAGGTTACCACGAAGGTCCCATCATCTCAGCCTTGTCTCTTGCCTGAGGCATGGTGACCCTCAGGTTAAACTCACCACCAGTCATATCTCTCTAACAAGGCAGCAGCCCTTTGATCCTCTGGAACTATGGCAAATTTACTTATTTTTAGGCAGTGAGGTGTGATGATTTGCAGCAGACTGTCTAAAAGGTGGAGACAAGCAGATTCAGCAGGAACACTGAAAAAAAACTGAATAAACAATTGAAACATTTCCAGGACCTATGAAAGTGCAGGGGCTTGGTATTAACTGAATAGGTCTACCAAACAGGCAGCAGGAGGACAATAGACTGAATGTCCTTTTTCTCTAGTTTTGCCATTTTTTGATATCATAACAAGAAGCAATGAGTTCAGGCACACTTAAGCCAACAATCTTTTCAGGTTTTGTGAATCTTGTAATCCATCCTTTCAAATTGTGCCTCATGAGACATTGGTATTTACCAGTAATTTCGATAGAGTACAATGCAGCCCCAAATAGGTTCAAAAGAGTACTCCATGATTTTCAAGAGATACAAGACAACATTCTCACATGGCCATCAATAAATGATAAGCGTTGTTACGGCACCAATCTCTGTTTGAAAATGCTGACATTCTTTTGAAAAAATCATGCAAAAATGTTTTCTTCAATCCCAGCAATAATCTGTCCAAACTAAACAGAGACCAACATTTAATCTGTTTGGCTGAGCCTTACTTACCTTCACAGCAATTATGTGTCCTGATTTCTTGAACCTCATTTTCCAGACCTGCCCACATGTGCCACTGCCAATCTCGCCCAAGTTTTCCAGGTCACTGATTTCAGCTTGATATCTCTGGCGCAAAGACACAAAGCAAATAAGTGACCATGCAATGATTGCTGTAATCCAAACCACAACACTCCATCACTGTATTAGAAATCACATGACATTACACTGCTCAATACAATTTAAAGTGTACAAATTGACAGTGTGGAGTTACAAGGAAAGCTCACTCATTTACCAGAATACAAATATATCTATCGAATAATAACTGGATATTTGTAATGTGAAATTAAAGCTTTCCATTTTCACCCTCCTGCACTGGCACGGAACACATGCAGAGTTGATTCCAACACTGGAACTGAGCCCATTTCTGGTAGTGATAGTCAGCACACTCCTGGTGACTGGTCCCCCAGCCCTTCCAGTACCAATCCCAGCACTGGTACACAGTTCTGCCAGTGCAAATCCCAGTACTCCCAGTGCCAATCCCAACACTGGCAATGAGCGAGTTGCTTGCCAATCTAAGAACTGGTACCTAATTCACCCAGTGCTAATCCCAGACTAGTACTCAGATCTCCAGGTGCCAATCCTGGCATTCCCAGTGCAAATACCTAGTTCTCCCAGTGCCAATCCTAGCACAGGTACTACTCAGCTTTCCAGGTGACTCTACAGGTGACAATCCTAGCACTGATACACAGCCTCCATTCCCAGTGCCAAATCTAGCATTGGTACCTGATGCACTGAACGCCAATCTCAGCATGATTCCAGCACTGGTGCCCTGCGATGGGGAAGCAATGGCATAGCGGTATTGCTGCTGGACTGGCAATCCAGTGACTCAGGCAATGTTCTGGGAACCTGGGCTCAAATTCCATAATGATAGATGGTGTCTGTAATTATAAGTCTGATGATGACTGTGAAACCACTGTCATAGTATCACAGAATCCCTACAGTGCGGAAAGCGGCCATTTGGCCCACAAGTCTGCACAGACCCTCCAAAGACCATCCCACCCAGACCTACCCACCAGCCACCCTAACCCCGTAACTCCACATTTACCATGGTTAATCCACCTAGTCTGCACATCCCTGGACACTATGGGACAATATGGCATAGTTAATTCACCTAATCTGTACATCTTTGGACTGTGGGAGGAAACCAGGCAGAAACCCACGCAGACATGGGGAGAACATGCAAACACCACACAGACAGTCATCCAGGGCTAGAATCAAACCTGGGGTCCCTGGCACTGTGAGCCAGTAGCGCTAACCACTGTGTCACCTGTCATAAAAACTGGTTCTTCAGGCAAGGAAAACGGTTGACCTTACCTGGTCTGGCCTATGCATGGCACCACACACACACCAGTCATTGGGTCATACAGCATAGAAACAGGCTCTTCAGCCCACCATGTCTATGCCAATCAACAAATATCAACCTATACTAATCCCATTTACTTGTAATTGGACATAGCTGACTATGCCCCAGCATTTTAAGTACTCATCCAGATGCTTCTTAAATGTTGTGAGTCCACCTGCCTCCATCACCCCTTCACCAATGTAGCTGACTGTCCTCTTAATATGGCTGAGTAAGCCATTCAGTCGTATCAACTATCAAAAAGTCTCAAAAAAAATAAAATCTGACAAACCACCTGGGCATTGACCTAGGCACCAGAAATGACAACTGCAAACTAAGCCCCATTGACCCTGCAAATCCCTCCTTACCAACACTTTGGTGTTAGTTCCAAAACTGGAAGAGCTGTCTCACAGACTTTCAAACAGCAGCCTGAATTAGTCACACTCATGGAATCATACCTTATACACAGTGTCACAGACAAGACCATCACCATCACCATTCCATGTAGGTCTGGTCCCACTGACAAGACAGAGCCAGCAGAGATAGAGGGATAATATACTGTCGGGAGGGAGTTGTCCTGTGACCCCTCAATTTTGACTCTGGCATCAAATCAAACATGAACAAGAAATTACCTTATACCGCCTCTCCTTTTCCTGAGGAAATAGTGCTCCCACATTGAACAAGGGGACAGAACATCTTCGTGCATGGCAGGGAGGAGTTGGTGGTGGCGACTCTCCTGTGTTTGGTAGTACAAGGGAAGGTTGTGGTTGTGTGTTAGTCACTTTGTCTATAGGACATCACCGCAGTGCAGTGTCTTAGGCTAACCACTGTCAGCCAGGTTTTGCTGCATTTTAACATGGACTGCTTCAGTGTCTGAAGAATTGCAAATAGTGATGAACATCGGCAAACATCTCCACTTCTGACCTTACAGAGTCATACAGCACAGTATCAAATCCTTCTGTCCAACTCATCCATGCCGAACCTGTTCCCAAACTAAACTAGTCCCACTTGCCTGCGTTTGGCCCATAGCCCTCCAAACCTTTCCTATTCATGTATTTATCCAAATATCTTTTAAATGTTGTAATTGTACCTGCATCCACCACTTCCTCTGGCAGTTCATTCCATACACAAACCATCTTCTGTGTAAAAAAGTTGCCGCTCATATCCTTTCTCAACTTTCTCCTCTCACCTTAAAAATATGCCCCCTAGTTTTGAACTCCCTCTCCTCGGCAAAAGACCTTTGCTATTCACCTTATCTATGCCCCTCATGATTTTGTAAACCTTTATAAAGGTCACCCTTAACTTCCTAGACTCCAATGAAAAAAGTCCCAGCCTATTTTTATATCTCAAATCCTCCATTCCAGGAGCGCAGGTCATTGATGAAGCAGCTGAAGATATAAACCGAAAGAACTATAGCTGCTGTATATGAGATTCAAAAACAGAAATTGCTGGAAAAGCTCAGCAAGTCTGGCAGCATCTGTGGGAAGAAATCAGGAGTTAACGTTTTGGGTTGAGTGACGCTTTCTGAGAGCCCTGCTACCAGAACTTTTCCAGCAATTTCTGTTTTTGAAACAGCTGACGATGGTTGGGCCTAGGATACCATCCACAGGAACCTCTCCAGACGTGTCCTGCAGCTGAGATGACTGACTTCCAACATCCACAACCATCTTCCTATCGGTCAGGTATGACTTCAATTAATGAGCTTGAACTGATTCCCATTGATAATGCTTCTTGATACCACACTTGGTCAAATGTTGCTTGGATGCCAAGGGCTGTCACTCTCATTTCACCTCACCCCTAGAATTGACCTCTTCTGTACATGTTTGAACCAAGGGTATGACAAGGTCAGGAGCTGAGTTGCCTTAGCAGAACCCAAACTGGGTGTCAGTGATTGCACTGCTGATGACAACTTCCATTACTTTACTGATGATTGAGATTAGGCTGATGGGGTGCTAAATAGGCGGGTTGGATTTGTTAGAATCATAGAATCTGTCCTGCTCTTTGTGTACAGGACATACCTGGGCCATTTCCCAGTTTGTTGGGTAAATTCCAGTGTTATCGCCATACTGGGACAGCTCGGCTAGGGGAGCAACAATGTTGGACCACAAGTTTTCAGTAAATTGCCAGAATTCAGTTGGGGCCCATAGCCTTTCCTACAGTATCTAGTGCCTCCAACCATTGCTTTTTATCATGTGGAGTGAATGAAATTGGTTGAAGACTGGCATTTGTGATGCTGGGGACCACTGCAGGAGGCAGAGATGGATCATCTACCCAGGATGACTGGCTGAAGATTTCTGCGAATGCTTCTGCACTAGCTTCCTGGGTCCTGGGTTCTTCCATCATTGCGGAGAGGGATATTTGTGGAGCGTTCTCCGCCAGTGCCTTGTTTAATTGTCCACCATCATTCACGACTGGATCCAGCAGGTCTGCAGAGCCTGGATCTGATCTGTTCGTTGTGGGCTTAGCGCTGTCTGTCACTTGTTGCTTATGCTGTTTGATGCACAAGTGGTCCTGTTAGGTAGCTTCACCAGGTTGACACCTCATTTTTAGGTAGGCATGGTACTGCACTTTCTATTGAACCAGGGTTGATTCCCTGGTTTGATGGTAATAGTTGAATGGTAATATGCCAGGCATGAGGTTACAGATTGCGTTCGGGTGCAGTTCTGCTGCTGTTGATAGTCTACAGAGTGCCTCATGGATGCTCAGACTTGAGTTGCCAGACATGTTTGAAGCCAGTCCCATTTAGTACAGTGATAGTGCCACACGACACAATGGATAGCATTCTCAATGTGAAAGTAGGACTTCTGTCTCCACAAGTACTGTGCAATGGTTACTTTTACCAATGTTGTCATGGGCAGATGCATCGGAGGCAAGCAGATTGGTGAGGATAAGGTCAAGTATGTCTTGCCCTTTTGTTGGCTCCCTCACCACCTGCTGCAAGCCCAGTCTAGTAGCAATGTCTTTTTGGACATGTCCAACTCAATCAGCGGTGCTGCTGCTGAGCCACTCTTAGTAGTGGAAAGCAGGGAGGTCTTGCTAAAACTAAATAAGGCACTGGTCAGACCAAAACTGGAATATGTGAACAGTTTTGATCCCTTTGCCTAAGAAAATATATACTGACATTGGAGGTAGACGAGACAAGATCCTGAAAATGGAGGGATTTTCCATTAAGAAGAGGTTGAGTATGCTGGACACATACATAGAGTTTAGAAGAATGAGAGGAGACCTTATTAAAACATTTAAGATTCTCAATGGGCTTGGCACCACATCCACAAACATTCACTCCTTCCACCACAATACTCAGAAGCAGTAGTATGTCCCATCTACAAGATGCACTACAGAAATTCACTAAGATTCCTTACATAGCATCTCCTAAATGCGTGACCGCTACCTGCGAGTTCCTCTCCCAGCCACTCACCATTCTGACATCTCACCATCTCCTTCACAAGAGCATATATGGCTGGGCAATTATTGCTGGCCCAGCCAGCAAAGCTCATATGAATAAGTTGAAAAGAAAATTCCCAGTATTAACACCTTGAAATACATCTTAGATGCAGTACAGGTTAACATTACAGTACAGTTTCCACTACTCAATTTAAACAGTACATGGACTTTACACCTTCCGTGGCAGTGGTAATTAGAGCTGGCACAGTCAGGGTAATGTCAAGGAATTCTTCAGAAAAGGTAATGGAAATCATCTAAGTAAATGGTACAAAAGACTCAAAGGGATGAATGGCCTACAGGCTTTCTCCACATATTGCAACGGACATGAGAGAGCGCTGATGCTGTACTATTTTGATAAAATGATGGACTGACAAGTTAACTCCGCCATGTGTTACCCAGCCCAGGGATAGGCATGAAGCAATAGCAGCTCGTACTGTAACTTACCTGTCCGCCTATCGTCAGATACCCAGTCTGTTTCATAATCTCCTGCAGCTTTTGCTCAATCTCTATACTGTGAACAGAAACAGGATAGGTGGTTATGCACACTGAGAAGTTTGGAAAACTGAAATTAAAGGACAAATGTCAAGAAATTCTTTGCCCAGAAAGCAAGTGCAAACCACCCACCTGAACACAAGGCACATTACCCAATCAACATGCTGCCAAAACATCTTGTGAAACGTATATCTAATTCAGCTTTACACAACAGATGTAAGAATATAAAAACATAAGAAATAGGGGCAGGAGTAGGCCATCTGGCCTCTCAAGCCTACTCCGCCATTCAATAAGATCATGTCTGATCTTTTCGTGGACTCAGCTCCACTTACCCGCCCACTCACCATAAGCCTTATTTCCTTTACTGTTCAAAAATCTATTTTTGCCTTAAAAACATTCAACGAGGTAGCCTCAACATTTACAGATCAGTTCTACAGATTCACAAACCCTTTGGGTGAAGAAGTTCCTCCTCAACTCATTTCTAAATATGCTCCCCCTTATTGTGAGGCTGTGCTTCCTATTTCGTGTTTCACCTGCCAGTGGAAACAACCTCCCTGCTTCTATCTTATCTATCCCCTTCATAATTTTATGTATTTCTATAAGATCCTCCCTCATTCTTCTAAATTTCAATGTGTATAGTCCCAGAATGATCAAACTCTCCTCATACGCCAGCACTCTCAACTTTGTAACCAACATAGTGGACCTCGTCCGCACCCCGTCAAGTGCCAGTACATCCTTTCTCAAGTAAGGAGACCAAAACTGTATAGTATGCTGGGTGTGGCTTCACCAGTATCCTATATAGCTGCAGGATAACCTCCCTATTTTTAAACTCCACCTCTCTAGCAATGAAAGACAATATTCCACTTGCCTTCTTAATTACCTGCTGCATCTGCATACCAACTTTTTGTGATTCATGCGGTCCTTCTGCACAGCAGTATGCTGTAATTTTTCACCATTTAAATAACAGTCCATTTTGCTGTTATTCCTACCTAAATGGGTGACCTCACACTTACCAACTTTGTACTCCATCTGCCTGACTCTGATCCACTCACTTAACCTATCTATATCCCTCTGCAGACTTTCATTGTCCTCTGCACACTTTGCTTTACCATGCATCTTAGTGTCATCTACAAACTTTGACACACTACACTTGCTCCCCAATTCCAAATCATCTATGTAAATTGTAAACAATTGCAGTCCCAACATTGATCCCCAAGGCACACCAGTTGCCAACCAGAAAAACACCCATTTATCCCCACTCTGCTCTGTTAGTTCACCAATCCTCTATCTATACTAATACATTATCCATAATGCTTATGCGGCAGCCTTTTAATCATAGAATCCCTACAGTGTAGAAACAGGCCTTTCAGCCCAGTAAGTCCACACGATCCTCAGAGAATCCATCCAGGCCCATCCCTCTATAACCCACCGAATCTATACATCCCAGAACACTATGGGCAATTTAGCATGGCCAATCCACCTAACCTGCACATCTTTGGACTGTGGGAGGAAACCGGAGCACCCAGAAGAAACCCACACAGATGTGGGGAGAATGTGTAAACTCCACACAGACAGTCACCCGAGGGTGGAATCGAAACCTGGCACTGTGAGGCAGCAGTGCTAAGCACTGAGCCACCGTGCCGCCCTTTTGTGCGGCACCTTTTTGAATGCCTTCTGGAAATCCAGATACGTTACATCCACGGGTTCGCCCGTCCACTCAAAACCAAGGTCAAAGAATCATGGAATCACAGCACACGTGGAGGCCATTTAGCTCATTAAGTCTGTGCTGGCCCTCTGAACAATGATTGTACCTACGGCTATTCTGCTGCCTTTTCAGGCAATTATCCAATTCCCACTTGAAAGCCTCCATTAACCTTGCTTCCATCACATTTCATTCCAGATTCGAACCAGACACTGCATGAAAAGGTTTTTCTTTATATCACTGTTGCTTCTTTTGCCAGTTACTTTAAATCTGTGCCGTCTCATTCTCAATCATTCGCTAATGGAAACACTTAATCTCTATCTCCTCACCTTAGACCGGTTATGATTTTGAACACCACTATCAAGTCCAGCATCTTTAATTTACCCATTTCTGAAACTCCTCATCCCATCTACTTTTGTCAATTGTTTCTGCACGCTAATGTCTTTGTTTTCTTCCTGAAGCATGGTGCCCACAACTAAATGTAATACTCTAGCTGAGATGGAAGTAGTGTTTTGTGCAGGTTTGACATAACTTACTTGCTTTCAAGTGCAGTCAAGGGAAGCCATTCTGCCAATTTCCCCTACTACAGCAGCTTCCATAATTTCAAACCATTTTACTTCAATTATCCTTTCTGGAGACCATTCAAGGAATTGATGACTGTGTGAGGAAGTGCTTCAGTTCTGAACTTGCTTTGAACTAAAGTTTACACGTATTCCACAATTTAACAGGATTAACCCATTGTCCCATCATATATTTGCCTTACTCAAGTGTTCCTTCCGACATATCTTCAAAACTAAGTGCTCTGTCCCTGGAGTTCAAATTCACCTCTTTGCTATACACCATTAACAGAGGTTGACTGCACCTTCAATCAGGTCTCTTAATGGATTAGGTTTCATCAACTTCAGCCTCATGTTGTGTTCAACTGATGTGAAATAACCTGAATATTCTGCTACATTCTTTTGAGGGACAGTGATAATGGCTTCTGTCTTGGATTTATGCTCAAGTTGTCCCAGCTTTAGACAAGGATGAAATGATGCCAATTTAGATGACCAACCTCCTAACATTTATCATGCTCCTGGGAAGGCCAGAGATGGCAGCAGCTGCAGTGGTGTCACTAGCCACCTTCGACAACATCACGAGCTGCCAATTCTGTGGACATCCATACTGATCCCAGAACTGACTCTTCAGTCACAACCCAAAATGATGAACTCACTTGTAGCTTAGACATACTACAACAGGTCTATGAGGAAAGGGGCCTTTCCTTACCTCTCCATGCTCTTCTGCAGCAGGTACTGAGGCTGAGGGAGGCTGAGCATGTGCCTAGGGCGCGATGGGGGTGGGTGATGCTGTGGTGAGGTTTCTGATGAGGATGATCGGCTACCAGCATCATTTGCTAAAGGAAGCTGAAGAGCTGAAAGCAAGGAAACACAACTATTATACTAAATATAAACACTCCCATACCACAAACACGGCTGACAGAGAAGCCCTGGCCAATTCATCAGCTCCAGAGTACCAGCAGTCTAGTTGGTAAATTCTGTTGGTAAACACTACAGGGCTTTAGCACAACAGCAAACATAAATAGTGGGTGAAGCTGTGTGTGAAGTTGTGGGATAGAGACACCCCTACGAGGACTGAGTTCGGCAGACGTGTGAAAAAAGGGAGGCCACGAGTGGTGGGGGGAGAAAAAATGTGCAGTGGTGGAGGCGTGTGGATGGCGAGGAGAGGGCATGCGGAGGTGAGGAGAGGACAGAAGCCTAAAGGAGACAGCACAAAGAATGTGTATATGGGAGAGGGTGGACAGTACACATGCATGTGGGAAGAGCACGAGTGGGTATGCAAATGGGGGAAAGAGTGCATGCCAGGGGCGAAATAGTGGGCAAGAGAAGAAGAGCTGTGAGAGGGGACTGCAGGTAAGGTGCAAGGCGCAAGTGGGATGCATGGGCAAGGCACGAGGGGAGGGAGAGGCACGAGGTGAAGAACAGGCAAGTGCAGGAGTAGTGACAGGAAGAGTGGCAAGGAATAAAAAGGAAGAGTTTGAGGGCGTAGAGTGCAAGAGGGAGGGCCATGAGGCACAGAACATGAGAGGGAGGGTAGGAGCAGGGTAGAGGTGGGAAGGAAAGCTAAGAGAAGGCACAGAGAAATGGAGTGGAGAGTGAAAGAATGTGCAAGGGCAGCAGGAGCAACGGATGCTGGTGGGGGGACTAACAGCAGGTTCGTGTGCACCCGACAAAGGGAGGTCAGCAAACATGTCCAAATTCCATCTCTTCTTACCTCTAAAACAATTTTGTCTTGCACCACTTTCCCTCCCCCCTCAATCCAATTGTTTCTCTCAGCAATCTCTCACTGTTGTAGTCTATAATTTCATTCCTTCTAAAGGTTCCTGCTGCTGATCATTACCCAGTGTGTTCTGTTGCAGTCACGTGTCCCAAGTTGAAATGCTGTAGGGGAAAGGATTAGGTTATGCCTTAGCACGAGGCTAGGCCAGCCTACGACAGTCACCTTGGCAGCCACAACCAGCAAAGCTCATCACCTAGATTCAGTTCCTCCAGGAGAGACAGGAAAAATCTGGGAGAGCACTGAGTAGTGGGAATGACCAAGAAAAAAGCCTAAGCCACTAAATATTTAAAATAAACTTGCTACAGATGCTAGCAAATTTTGGCTAATGTCTGGAGAGTGCCACGATGTTAAACTTCACAAATTCTACTCCCTTATTCTAAGCATCTATCAGTTCTACATTCCCCTGACGCTACTCTGGGTAGGTAGCCAGCTATGCCAAGGTAATCCATTACATTCAATAAGCCCAAAGATTTGAAAAAGGTTACAATGCTTGTATTTAACAACAGCTATAGGATGGTGGTGACCATAGCAGTGAGGGAAATTAGATTACACAGCCTGCAGGTTTAAGTAGTTTCACAATATAAAGCACATACAAACCAAATCTTCACCAATATTCACTGTATTGTAAAATCTGAAAAGAAGATTATATGCAATTGTCACAAAACTGGGCAAATTTATGATGTGTTTTCCTATTTTCTAGTGCTTGTGAATATCTCTTTCAATTCAGGGATAAATATTCGCCAGAACACGAGGGAAAATGCTCCTGCTGTTCTTTCATTCGTGCCGTGGGACATTTTACATCCACAAAGAGGGCAGATGAGACTTCAGTTTAACGTTTCATCTGAAAGATAGCATTTCTGACAGAGCAACACTCCTTCAGTGTTCCATTAAAGTGCCAGCCTTGAGCTTGCTTCTAGTCTTTGAATTGGGAATTGAACTCAACTTCCTGACTCCAAGGCGAGAGAACTACTCACCTATCTACGCTGACACACGCTAATGAAACACATCGAAATAGAGACTGGTTTTAGCAGGGGGGAGGCAAGAATTATTTTGCAATCAATACAGAATACACAAGCCATTGACTTACTGATAAACTAAATAAAATGTCTGGGTGAAAGACACAATAAAAATCTTTGGCAATGGAAACCAGTCACAAAGCTAGATAAAGTTGAGAAATTATCATGGTCACTGGTCCATTCCATGAATGGGTCGATTGCTTCTAAAACTACTACTTCTAGAAAATAGAAGATCCATTCATAAATTTGCACGTGTACATATCTTTGCATTGTGAGGAGAGAAAAATAACCGTGCCATTCTATCTCTGTCATGCTACACGATAAATTCCAAGACTGCATGCTGTGGTCATGCACAAGAGCAGCCATTTCAATAAGAACTACAAAAGAACATGCATCAGCCAGAGATCAGTCTCTCCAGTGTATGCTCAAGTGGTGAGTAAAATAATACAATCAGGATAATGAGTAGAGGGAAGAGGAAGTGGGTAATTAAAGAAGGAATGAGTAACTGGAGAGACAGAAACAAAGTGAAGTAATGAAAGAATGGAACAATGAAAAGCAGGATGACAGGAAGAGAAAGAAAGAAAGGAAGAGAGAGAATGAGAGGGAGAGAGGGGATAAATGGAGAGTTGGGATAAAGTAGTCTTTTTTGAGGATGGCAGCTGGTGACTAGTGGAGTTCTGCAGGGATCTGCGTTGGACCCAAACTATTCACACTATATATCAACAATCTGAACAAAGGAACGAAGGGCATTGTTGCTAAATTTGCAGATGACACAGATAGGTAGAGGGACAGGTCCTGTTGAAGAAGGGGCGGGATTTGGACAGGCTAGTGGAGTGGGCAAAGAGGTAGCAGATGGGATACAATGTGGGCAAGTGTGAGGTTATGCACTTTGGCAGGAAGAATATAAGCCTACAATATTTTCTAAATGGGGAAAGATGAGTGGGAAATCTCACTGAAGTTTACCAAATACTGAGCGGCTTGGAATAAATGGACGTGGAGATGATGCTTCCACTTTTAAGAGAGACCAGGACACAAGTGCATAGCTTCACAGTGAACGGACAAGAGATGAGAAGGAATTTCTTCAGCCACAGGATAGTGAATCTGTGACAATCATTGCCACAGAAGGCTGTGTAGGTCAAGGCACTGAGTGTACTTAAGACGTGGGTTCTTGATTAGAGGATCAAAGATTACAGGAAGAAGGCAAAGAATGGGGTCATGAAACATATCAGCCATGATCAAATGTGGAGCAGACTTAATGGATTGAATGGCCTAATTCTGGTCCTATACCTTCGGTTTTATGACAGTTAGAGGGATAAAGTGAGTATGAGGAAGTGAGAAAGGGAGAGAGGGGAGAGACAAAGTCAGAGAGACACAGATAGCAAGAAAGGGAAAGCAAGAGGGGTGGATAAGCAAGAGAGGGAAAGCAAGACTACAAGAGAAAATGAGAGGGTGAATGAAAGTAAGAGGACAAGATAGAGAATGAAAGTAAAAAGAGAGAATAAGTGAGGGAGAGAAAAAGTGACAGCAGCAAAAATCACTAGAGAGAAATAATAGGATAGAGAGAAATGTAGGAAACTGCAACAAGGAAAGAGAATTTTGAGAATGTGGAACACACAACATCATGGAGACGATATATAAACCAGCAAAAAGGAGAACAGAGAAACTTAGGTAGGTGCATATGATAAACAAGAGATTTGGTACCTGCTCGTTGGGATGGGGCAGGAGCAGGGCTTAGAGTGATCACTATAACTGGATCAGGAAAAGGAAAATTGGATAAATCATAATGTATCAAAACTCTGGCATAAACATAAAACAATTATTAATGGATAAATTAAATTCATTCAGAAATGAAATCAACAATGAAACACAGGAGCTGAGTGACAGGCAAAAGGCGAATGGGTGGATTCACACGCACTGAAGTCTCTGTATCTCACAGCAGGAGCCTGGCGCTGAGTAGGAAATAACACAGAGGAGATCAGGGCCCAGTAAATGAACAATCTGCTCACCATTAATACAAAACTGGGACACTGTATGTCACTTTCCTCAATACTCAGATTGTGAAAAACACGCCCCACATCAGCTGCCCTAAATGAGAATATCACTCCATAATGCAAAATGAGAGCTCCTTCAAAAAGTATCATAAAGTTTCATCCTCCTTGCCATAAAAGGAACATTTAAACATTTCTATTTTATTTGTTGATTCAGTATAGAACTCTCATTCAGAAGAAGTTGCTATATAATTGTTAGAACAAGGTCATTCTTATTTGTAATTTCACACAGATGTCATACAATGTGTATGCTCAACACAGAGGGAGGACAAGCAATGTAAGAGTAAAAAACACACCAGCAGACTGGATTAACTGTACCTGAGCAGCTCCTTGTACCATACCACTCGACAATATAGCTCTCCAAAATACACAAACAGATAAATACACACAAATACAGTCATTCCCCTCTCCACCTCATACACATACAGGCACATATACTACAGGACAGAGGGCACAAAGTCTTTAGAACTGCAATGCTAGGATTCATTGACCACCATAGATGGCAAAGGTAGAAACAGTTGTGTCAACATTCAAGAAAAGGTTAGACTAATGGCTGAAGGGGAAAAAGTAGAGTATGAACAATATAGAAACAAGTTGGGCAAATATGATTTGAATCATTCGCTTGATGTGGAGGTAAATCAGTGCCACTAGGCCTGTGGACTGGAATGGCCCGTTTCCACTTTTTTGAGTTCTACTTCTGTCCTACTTTAACATGAATTCATACTTGGACATACTAAAATACATAAGCACACATGAACAGTATCATAATGGTATTGTTACTGGACTATAGGCTTGGACTAGTCTTCTACTGGCACAAGTTTGAAGCCTACCACAGCAGCTGAAAGAAGTTAAATTCAACTAATTAATAAATCTGGAATAAAAAGGTGAACCTAGTAACAGTGGTCACAAAACTACTGGATTGTTTTAAAAACCAATGTGACTCATTCATGTCGTCTGTCCTTTTTATGCTTTCTGGTATTGACTGATCCCAGACCCACTGCAACGTGTTTAGCTGTTAACTGACTTCTGAAATGACTGAGTAAGCTACTAGTTTTACAACAGATTACAAAAGATTAAGAATAGAACCTGACAATGACTGAGGATGACAATGGCAAACCTGACATGTCAAACTTGCTTTCTGGCATCAGGGGATTTAGAGTCATGCAGCATGGAAATAGACCCTTTGATCCAACTCATCCTGCCAACCAGATATATCACTTTGACCTAGCCCCATTTGCCAGCATTTGGCTAATATCCCTTGAAAGCCTTCCTATTCATATACCCATCCAGATGCCTTTTAAAAGTCGTAATTGTACCCACCACTATCACTTCCTCCAGCAGCTTGCTCCACATACACACCAACCTCTACATGAAAAAATTATGCCTCAGGTCCTTTTTAAATCTTTCCCCTCTCATCTTAAACCTATGCCGTCTAGTTTTGAACTCCCCTACCATAGGAAAAAGACCATGGCTAGCCATGTACCTCATGATCTTATAAACCTCCATAAAGGTCATCCCTTAGCCTCCAAAGCTCCAGGGAAAAAAAAACCACAGCCTATTCAGCCTCTCCCTATAACTCAAATCCTCCAGTCCTGGCAAAATCCTTGTAAATATTTTCAGCACCCTCTCAAGTTTAATTTGTTCCAAAATTGAGAGAGCTATCCCAGAGATAGCAATCTCATTATCATACTATCGTACTATCATATTATCATACTGAATCATACCTGACATCAATGTCCCAATTCATCACCATCTTTAAATATGTCCTGCCCCACCAACAGGACAAATTCTTCCCACAGGCAACAGCAGAGGTATACAGTCAGGAGTTAGTGATCCTGGCCCTTCTTGACACTGACTTTGGACTCCATGAAGTCCCAAAACATCAGGTCAAACTTGAGCCCAGAAACCTGCTGCTAATTACAGTGTGACCACCTCCTTCAATTAGCACTCCTTCATGTTGAATACCACTTGAAAGGAGTACCAAGAATAGCAAGTGCACACAACATACTTTGGGTGTGGAATATCAATGTCAATCTAGCTCCTGGTCCTGAGGATATGTCTTCCAGAATGAGCCACATCTCAATTAGAGCTGATCCCAAACAGCTATTGAAAAAACTACACTGAAATCTACCTAATGCATTGGAAAATTGCCTAGGTATGTCCTGTCCACAAAAAGGCAGGACAGATCCAATCCTAACTATTAAAACCCCTCAGTCTTCGGTCGATCAACAGTAAATCACTTGGGAGTGGGAGCCTTTCAGAGAGGTGCATGGAGAGTGAGCATAAAACTTTACAGCCAAAGAATTGGGCCCACTTACCTGGGAGTCAGGGCCTTCAGGGAGGGCATAGAGTGGCGAGTATAAAACTTTACATCACAGAATTTGGGCCTATATACCCAGGAGTCTAAGCCTGTGAGGGAGGTGAACAGAGCGGTGAGTGTAAAAGTTTATTCATTCTGAACGAGGAAAAAAATCGGAACGATATCACAGAAAAACAGCAAGCTGATTGACTGATAAAGAAACTACCTAAGGATGCCTTCATAAATCACAGTTATTTTAAAAAGTGTAAAATTATTCAGGGATAAAGTTATCCAGTAAAACCAGGAAGTTTAAGGAAGACTAAGGAAGCTTAAATAATGGCAGGCTAGGGCAGCAGAGTAGAATGTGCGTCCTGGCATAAGTAGGGTGTTATGGACCCTACAGGAATTCAGGTTGACCATGTGTGCAGGAAGTGTTCTTAACTGCATAAGCTTGAGCTCCAGGTTTTGGCTGGAGACACTGCAGAACATCCATGAGACTAAGAGATTAATAGATACCACGTTTAGAGGAATGGTCACACTGCAGCTGAAGGAGCTGGAGGAAGGAGGGAACGGGCAAATCAGTTTTCAATTGTGGAAGCTGAGGAGGGTGCTGGTACATCAAAGGAGTGCAGTCGGAGTCAGGATTTTGGCACCACAAAGGGCCTGACAGTACACGAGGGGTGGAAGAAGAAAGCAAAACCGATAATGGTAGGGAATTCATGAACTAAGGGACAGATAGGTACTTTTGGAGCTGCCGACATGACTCCAGGATGATGTGTTGCCTCTCTCTTGCCAGGGGCAGCGATGTCACTGAGGGACTGCAGGGCATCCTGAAGGAAGGAAAGTGATAAGGCAGAGGTCATGGTACACATTGGTAGCAACGATATAGGTAGAATAAGGGATGAGGTTTTGCATCTAGAGTTCAGACAGCTAGGCAGTAAATAAGAAGCAAGACTTGAAAGTCGTAACCTCAAGACTACTCCTGGTGCTATATGCTAGCGAGAACAGAAATAGATACTAGAGCAGATTAATGCATGGCTCAAGAGTTGGTGCAGCAGGGAACTCAAGAAAACAATTAAGAGAAAAAAGAGGGGTATGAGAAAATGCTGGCGGGTGAGATTAGGAAGAATTGCAAGATATTCAACAAGTATATCAAGGGGAAGAGAACTGTTCAAGAGGGCAATCTGTGCGTCAAGCCAGAGGACATTGGTGAATAAGTTCTTCGCGTCTGTCTTTATTTGGGAGAAGGAGGATGCAAGTACAGAATTCGAGAAGGTGGACTGTGAGGTTCTTGAGCAAACTGATTCAAGTACAGCAAAGAAGGTTACCACAGAACACAATGATACCTTAATCAGATGGGCAAATGGGCCGAGGAGTGGCAGATGGAGTTTAGTTTAGATAAATGTGAGTTGCTGCATTTTGGTAGGGCAAATCAGGGCAGGACTTACACACTTAAATGGTAAGGTTCTGGGGGGAGTGTTACAGAGTGGAGACCTTGGGTGCAGGGTCATTGTTCCTTGAAAGTGGAGTTGCAGGTAGACAGGGTAGCAAAGCAAGGTTCGGTATGCTTGCCTTTACTGGTTAGTGCACTGAGTATAAGTATTGGGAGGTCATGTTGTGGCTGTACAGACATAGGTTTTGGAATACTCCCTGCTATACGAAAGATGTTGTGAAACTTTGCTAGGATGTTGCCAGGCTTGGAGGGAGAAGCTGAATAGGCTGGGGCTATTTTCCCTGGAGCATCAGATGCTGAAGGGTGACCTTATAGAAGTTCATAAAATTATGAGGTGCATGGATAGGGTGAATAGCCAAGGTTTTTCCCCCCAGGGTAGGGGAGTCCAAAACTAGAGAGCATATTTTTAAGGTGAGAGGGGAAACTAAGGGGCAACTTTTTCACGTAGAGTGTGATGAGTATATGGAATGAGCTGCCAGAAGAGGCTGGTACAATTACAACATTTAAAAGGCATCAGGATGGGTATATGATTGGGAAGGATTGAGAAGGGTATGGGCCAAACGCTGGCAAATGGGACTAATTAATTTAGAATATCTGTTCAGCCATGAACGAGTTGGACTGAAGGGTCTGTTTCCATGCTGTGCATCTCTATGACTCTAAGCGAGGTGCTATTGGAAGTTTTAGCAGATTTAAAATTGTAAAAGATCACCAGCTCCAGATGAGTTGTATTCTGGGCTGCTGTGGGAGACGGGTGGAAATTATAAGAGCCCCGCCCAAATTTTTTAAATTGTCTCAGCCACAGGGGAGGGGCCGAGGACTGGAGGACAGCTAATATGGCTCCACTTTACAAAAAGGGTGGCACAGACAGACCAGAGAACTATACATCAATGAGTCTAACACCAGTGGTAGGGAAACTACTGGAGAAAATAACGAAGGAGAAAATTGATCT